GGTCTGCCCATGGTCTGTCCTCCACCAAGAAAGGTGGGCTGAGAGCAGGAGTGTGACGAGGGACAGCCCAGCCGGGTGCAGGGGTCCCAGGAGGACACTCCCAGGTGCTGAGCAGAGCTGTGGCAGGCCCTGAGGGCTGGACAACCATCCTTCCTTCCCCTCTGCTCCAACTGCTGGAGCCACCTCTTTCCAGGGGATGGAGCGGGACCTGCTGCCTGCTCTCCACGGTGAGCATCTCTCCACCTTTTGGAGTCCATCTGTGCATGCCCCTCTGCCATGCCTCTCTGCCATGCCTCTCTCCCCAGAAGCATGGACCCATGCCAAGCCCTGCCACCTCAGTTCCTGCCCTTCTGCAGCGACACCCAGGTTGTCCAGGCCCATCTGGCCTTATGCTGCAGCCCACACCCCACCCTAACACATCCCTGCTCCCCTTCACTCTCGGACTGCAACTCTCTCCCATCTGGCTGCGCACTTGCTGACTGCCCAGAAAGATATTTGTAGCACATAAAACTGGACATAAGCAGTTCACAGCTGGGAGCAGCATGGAGTAAGGCTGGAGGGGCGCAGGATGCTGCGTTTGGGTTTGAGGGAGATGTGCTCAGAGATGGGATTTCCAGCTCTGACCTCCAAGCAGCTCCACATCTGGTCCAGCCATTCCTTCTCCCATCTCCAGGGCCATGTTCAGCACATTCTTGGACAAGGAACCTGCCTAAGTCCAGGAGGTGGGAATTGTAGGATCTGGAGCAGCTTCCCCCAAAACCTGCTGCCTGAAGGTGCCACTTTCAGGGCAGGCTCTCTGCATCAAGATCAATACTTCTGACTCGCTCTTTCTGCCCCCGTGTTTCATAACCACATCCCCCCGATCTGCCCTCTGGTAGGGGTGGCATATCATGCCCGAGGTCTCTCTCACTGCCCGAGTGGAGCAGCTCTCTATCTCCCAGACAAACCCATCACTTTGTGCCTCCTTCATTGCACAAGTCTCTCTGTGCTTCTCCTGTTCAAACGCTCCACCCAGCCCCATGAGCTGGCCCCACACGTCACAGCCCTCTTGCATAGGCATCTGATGGAACGCATGTGTTTTTGTGTGGGCAGCTCCAGTGCCCACCCTCATCACTTGATGCGGGTGAAGACCGAGGTGCCGGCCCTGTGGGGAAGCCATGTCAGTGGGGCAAGTGGCAGGGTCAAGGCTCACCTGGTGGCTTTCCAGGCATCCCTGCGCGATAGGACCTCTTCCCACAGGAGCCACATGGTCTCCAGTGTCTCCTTCCTGTGGTGGTCCACAAAGCACTGGCCCACAAAGACAGTGGTGGAGTCTGGTGGGATTTGAGCAGGACAGAGGGGTCTCAGAGCCTGCGCCTCCAGACAGGGGAACCTCGGCCACCTGATCCTGGCAGACAGACAGACACCCCCTGCCAAGTCCCTTGGACAGACAGATGGACACTCCTGCCACCTCTCCCAGACAGACAGACACCCCTGCCACCCACCCCAGACACAGCCCTCCCCTCACCACGTCCCATGGCAGGAGCAAGTGCGTGTGGCCTGTCTGTTGCCACAGCCAGGGTTTATCTGGGTACCACAGTGGGTATGGGGGACCAATCGGAGGGCACCCACACCCAGCATGGGCAGGGTCTCACTGGCTGCCCCGAGATGCTGTGCTGGGTACTGCTGTACTTGAGAACTGCCACTGCACAGTGAAGCCAAAGGTGGGCTGCCCCTTGGTGCTGGGGAGCTGCTGGGCACCTTGCAGGGGTGACACCAGGATTTGCTTGTTGGTGGCCACCACAGCGGTGTGGTAGGAGCCCAGGAAGGTCCCGGCCATGTCAAGGGCTGAGAGGGTCATGTTGGAGCCGAGCTCGTTCTTCCACAGGCCCTGCAGATCGCACTGGG